CCGCTGAAAACTGAGGCTTGGAAGTCCAACATAAACCAAGTCCTGAACAAACTTGGTCCTGAGATCAGGACGACTGAGTCTTATTTTTACAGTTCACAAATTCTTGGAGAATTTGAGATGTGGATGAAAAGTCATGAAGAAACTAGGGCTAAACGATTAATTGCATATGCAATTAAATTGTGATGTGATATAAGAGATTTTCTAATCGCAAAGGTTGCGATTTGACTGACAGCGAGTGGTTAGCACAATGCTAATATAGATTGAAAACCGATATGGATGCTAATGCTAATATCGCCGATTACATTCTTACAAATTACAAATTAGCAACGTGCCAAATTATTACATTTGGAGTCTAATAAAAAGTTCAGACGTCCATTAATCAAATAAGTACAGACAGATATTTTAGTAAAGCTAGAAAACTGTAAGAGACTTTAACTCCACTGAGTTTTGGCTAGCAGCTATAAACGTTACTGAACTATGGAAGCTCTGCATGGACAGGACATCAAAAACTCTAAACACAAAAGACTTCAATAAATTGGACACTTCTTTCCTGCAAATCAATTTTCACAATTGATGCTAATACCTATGCTCCTTCAAGGGACGCGCTCCTGGCTGCAAAGCATTGCACCTTCAAATACAATTTTTTTTCTTTACTTGTGAGTGTTTATGTAGACAAATAAACTTGTTGATATGATATGTCGATAAATATGTAGGTACATAAATTTGTATATATTCAGTACAAGTTACTTAGATTTTTTTTTGCTTCCGTTAGTTGAAAAATGAGAAAAGCCCTTGAGAAAATTATCGTTAATTAAATCACAATTGCAATATTGAAGAAAATAATTGCAATTAGATTATTTTCCTAAATCGTTCAGCCCTAGAAGCAACCATGCAGTTGAAGTACATGCACCTACCCATGATATTTTCCCTTTACCAATAAGAGGTTGTTCTGTCTGCTACACAACGCTGAAGAGTTGTGAATTTAGTTAAAATACTTTTTAAAAATAGTGTCTCCATAAAAATTTGATTATAAACTTTCCTGAGATAATATATTTTAACACTAGATCAACTAAACAGGACTAAAAATGTGAACTATTATCGACAGAGAGCTCAGGGCACCTGCATAACTTACACCAGGAGTATTTACTGGTGCACTCCCTCATTCACTAGACACAGGAAAGATAAGCCATGCAGTAGCATAGTAACAGATAAGGTTTCTATTACCTTTTGGTAACAAGAGGAATCGCAATCTTTTTCATGGTGAAATGATGATCTTATTTATAGGTCACCTTTTCTAGATGCTGATAATATTTTTTTTTCCAATTAAAGGTAGGCTAGAGTTCAATTTCCAAAGACTGACATGTCAAAATAGTACTAAAACCTCAGCTGAAGAAAAAAGTTATGGTTTATGTGACAGGATTTTTAAAATGTACTATGTTTTTAAATAGAGAGTAGGCCTGTGCAGTACAGAGAAAGAAACACTTTTTATATATCACCTCTCAAGATAAAAATCACGAGGCGCTTCACAAGAACAAATATATATATATATATATATATATATATATATATATATATTTTTTAACTAGAAAAGTTTTTAAAATATCATTGCATTTGGAGAAGTAAGAAAAGAAAGGAAAAGAGAAAATGAATAAGAAAAAGGTAATCAGTTGATCCTGGGAATAGCAAAATTGGTAGAGAGAATCAACCAAAGGTAGCGCAAGAACCAGCTTGAACAGGTGAGTTTCCAGCTGCTTTTTAAAGGAGACCACTGAGTCCACTGTTCTCAGGCTCAGGGGGAGAGTATACTGGTCCTTGCCAAAAACCGGTGTTTATATCTGTTATTAGATGAATTTTTCATGTACCAGTGAATAGCCTAGACAACGTCTGTAATGTTCGCGCAGCAGGAAAGCATTTCAATGGGGACCGATTTCATTGTTACACACTACCACCAACACAGCGTGTGTGAAAAGGAAACATTTAGCATGCTAAAGAAGGAGCTAGTAGATGGCTAAAAATGTATTAAATAACGTGTCTATCCCACAAAAAGTATGCATTGTTAACGCATGAAAAACGCAAAGGTAATGTGTTGTCTACGTGTCACACGTAAATTTTGTGTGTATTTGGCACTTTTGGCTAAGGCCAGGCTAGCCCTAGTTTGAAGTAGGGCTGAGCAATAAATCAAAAATGTATCGTTATCGCAATTTCTGAATTTTCCCCATGTCAATAAATTGATAAAAAAAATGAAAAGATGTATGTAGGTTGGCAACGCTTATGCCCCTTTAAGAAGCTGGCTCCTAGCTCCATCTAATGGACAACTTTTGTTTCTGCACATACCTGTAGTTATCGTTATTGATTTTAGGCCATATCGCCTAGCCCTAGTTTGAAGTGTAAAAACGTAATGCTGACCATTACCAATATACCCTAACAAGTAGTTATAATTCTAAATGTTTTCCTTTGACGTTTATCTTGCTAACAGATGGAGCCTAGCAAACAGCTCCTCTGTTGCTGGCGCCTTCTAGTTCAGTTCAACTCAATAAGTTTTGCATTTGTAAACATATTCAGCTGAGACGGCAAACTGGAGCATGGAGCTTATCTGCTGGAGCTGAAGTTCAAATCACCAGAAACTCCACCTTTAGAAAGGGCTTGTTACAAAAACTAATGAGCCCAACTTCAATTGCTATAAAAAGCAAGTTATGCCCAAGTTAAATGGAAGTCCACGGCAGGGCAGAGACCGCCCCCATACTCCCTTTATGCCACCATCGCCTAATCTTTTGTCAAACGGACACGACTGCATGACATTAAAGCCGCAGTCTGACCATTTATAAATGACTTAAGGCTCCATGATGCTGCCACAGCATTGCGGCAAATTGACGGCGTTGTTTGTAAAAACGACTTATAATAAACAATATTTAAGAACGGTTTTTATGTATTGATAACATTATGGCAGATGCCAACATCTCATCAGAAAAACATTCAATATAGCATATTTAACTCTGCTAGTTGGTCAAAATCTTGTTCACAACAACTGATAACTCTACAATGAACTCTGGAGAAGGCAAATTAAGTCCAGTTATTGAAGAGCAGAACAATCCAAATTCTCACGTTGACTGAGTAAAGTGCACACAATCTGTGGTTCACAAGTGATAACCACTCCCAATGTGGTAGCACAATAACACGCTGAAGATAAAAATGCAACTGTTTTGCTCTATAGTTGTGGAACAGTTTGAACCAAAGCTGAGCTACGTACTGCTTATAAGGAAAGATGTCTTATCACATAATCAAGTACAATCTGATATGTACTGCTGGCTATTTGTGGAACTGATTTATAACTCTACTTCAGGAAGATATCTGTTTGGAAAAACAGCAAATGACATTTGTTCTTTTTGAACCAAACTATACAAACCTATGTCTTACGTAAATGGAATTCATTAATACTCAGTACTGGCAACTCAGTACTCAGGTTTAAGTACTCACACTAATACGAGGTTTGGGGGAAATGTGGTATTAGTGTTTCAGGACTGGTTAGAATCAGTACTGGTGTCTCAGCACACAAACTGGAATTTAATATTGGTCCAAAAAACAAAATCAGTACATCTTTATTAAAATTTGATTAAAACTGAGACTAAAAACTAGTCGCCTCTGATAAGCTTACATCGTGAAATGAAAAGGACAGGATATGGCAACTTGCATACCTATCCAGTAAAGTTAAAAAAAATTTGAGCTGCGCAATTATGGACCATCCCATACACATTCCAGCGCAAACTCATATGAATGAGTCAACACACACACACACACACACACACACACACCAAATATTTTTGTTCACACACTTCCTTTGTTCCCCACACATGCCCTGTTCTTCCTGTAGGGACACCTGTCCCATCTATTAACGCTGTCTTTTTCTTTTGTCTTAAAAAAAAATAAAACTAACTAAAACACAACAGCTTGTTTTTCTAGCTGCAGCAGAGCCCCAATATCTGCTTTGCATATCAAGAATTGGTCAAAATAAGTCATTAAGCTATTTACTGCTACAGTTACTGGGGGATTCCCAAACTAAATGCATTGTATGTAAATCAAGCCTCAAAAAAGACAAAGCAAACCAAAGGTGTCTAGTCTAAATGTCTAGTAGAGGGAAAAACAGGAAGGTTTCTAAAAACTTCTGAAATGTACAGCAATGTCAATTAATATTATCATCTTGGCAAAGGACAAATGGGTTAAAACACCCAGCCAGAGGACATAAGTTTGACTTTGCTGACTGGTGCAGCATTCTCTGCTGAAATGCCCTTGGGCAAGATATTAGGCAAAAGCCTGCATAACTTCAGAGTGTAATAATCTTGAAGTAAGGTGAGGCGACATTTAGTTTAATAGTAAACTAGGTGAACCCAGCTTTGTACTAGAATAAAACGTGAAAATGTCCAGTTTATAACTATTTTTTACTGCTGTTTCGAGGGGGGAATAGTTGACATTCCTAGATACATAAAACAAGTTCCACTTTGATAAAGGGAAGACAAAACATGAATTAAAAACCCCAAATAACAATGGTTATAAGTCACTATATTCTTGTAACTTTGAAGCTGACACCCACGCTAATAAGCACGTAATTATACAGTATAATAAAAACGGTGCAGGAGAATCGCTTTTTTGCCAAATGAGGGAAATCTTCTAATAAAGTTAATATTTGGGAATAATTCCCACACTTTATTGTTTATATTTCTGCTAATATGCAAAAAATCTACGTGGACAAATTCAGGGTAGCATTCCCAAGCAGCATCACTACCTATAAGCAACACAAGTCGCATTCCCTGGCCATAACTGTCCAAAATAGTTAAAATATTCCTACACATTTGTAAAATTAGGACTCAAACTGTAAATAGCTTTAATTAAAGTTTGTAATAGGTGGACAAGCTAGCTGAAAAGCACGCGAGTTCTGGTAGCAATCGTCGCGACCTTAAAAATGGAAAGTACAGAAAATTGCTCCAGCGCATCAAGCCGACACTCACCTTTAAACGGTAAACACGGTATTCCTTATGAGAAAGTTAATCCAAAAGCTCACTTTTCCCGAGAAAATCGAGATAAAAATCCACACTTTGAAAAAAACTTGGAACAAGTTTGAGAGAACAGTCGGTATCCGACCGCCTCTGCTCTATCCGTTGTGTCCGGAGCCCCGTTGGAGCTCCTCATAGGAATACATGCGAGAGGGTGGAAGCGGGAAAAGGAGGTAGAGAAGGTGACGGCTGGAGCTTTGGTCTAACTATTTGAATGTATACGTAAAACAAGTGTTACCATAAGTGGAACACAAACTGTATAAAATATGTTCGTATTAAAATAAAATCACGTTACGTGCGTTAAAGTTGGGAATCGCTGTTATCCTTACTTGTCACCACCCCTGTGAACTTCCCAACTTGGTATCGACCACGGCTGCCTCTCATTCTGTTCCTCAGGAGTTCTGCCGCAGTAAATTTGGAAGAGGCGTCTGGTGGAAACGGTACTTGACCGTATGTATTAAAAGAGCTCTAAGAAAAGTTTTGAAATGTAGGACAGTTTATTTTTACGTCCCAATAACGTGCTGCAGCTGCTTTCTCCAGCCATCGCTCACAAATGACTCAGTAACAGTGTAATAAATGTTTTTTACAAGGATAGAGGAAGGATATTATGACCTCATTATAAAACCAAAATTATGACACTGCAGATCTATAATGTGACCAAAAAGCAAGCATTTAAGTCTCTATATGGATGTTATTGCAGTCTTAGCAGGCAAAGCCAAGTAAACTACTGGTATCTGAAAAGAAAAGTAAACACAGAAAGCCTAAAATAACCCAGTTTGTGTTAGTTTTTAATCAAAAAATATTTGCACCACATTTCAGTCAAATTAAAAGCATTTAACATGTTTTAAACAGTTTGCCTGCACTGGTGATGCTGCATGATAATACTGGTATACATCTTATAGGCCTACACTCCTATCAGTGCAAATTACTTTAGTGCTTGAAACCAGTGCTTCACAAAATGCTCCATCCTCCATACAACATGATGTCAGACAGAGTGGAGAACTCCTCATGCTGACATCTTGACCTGTGATTAGTGCTCGGGGGCCCAGACACTGATCCAGATACTTGTCAGAGAGAAAGGAGTGATAACATGAAAGGGGGTGAGGAGGAAGCCTGGTCAAGCCGATCTAACCCCCCTCTGGCCCTGACAGAGCTGGACTTTGAAGTGGCATCAGATAAAAGCACCTGTGGACAACAAAGCTGCCTGAAATCATTATTTTTAAAGAACATAAAAAAATCTGCAGAGTCAAAATGACACGGTTCAGGTATTTAACTGATCCGTTTACCGTGGTGCAATAGTGTAATGGCATACTGTAAGATGTTTGACACCTCAGCAACACTGTCTTTAAGTGTAGTCAGCCAGGGTTTTGGTTATCCAAGCTTTTTCTCCATCCTCAACCTGCTGAAGAACATTCTACAGTGTGCACCACCCTTTTTCTGCACCCCCAAACTTGATTTGATTAGCCATGGCCAGGCTGGAAATGTGGCTGAGAGCAGTTTGGAGCTTTTAGTTGTGGCAGTATCTGGCTAATTGAAACAACTCCCTCTGCATTTTTGTCTCCCCAGGGGAAGATGACCGACTCCCCCCCACCAGACTTCAGTCATTCAGGAGAGTAGCCATCTGTCCTTGCCTCGAATGACATACAAGGGTGCATACCAAGGATAAAAACAAAAGTAGAGATGCTTTCTTTGACTTTTCCTGCTTTCTTGCTTTTAATATCAAATAAATTAATGATGCGAATTTCAGGTTTAGTAGCTTCTTCCTGTTATTTCAGCAATACCACAAAAACTCTCATGTGGTGCTTTTTATGTGCTTGTAAAAACAAATTGTTGACATCTTTGCATCTCTTGTTTTTTTAGATTGCATGCTTTTTGAGGTTTGACTTTATTTGATTTGTCTTCTCAATGCCTTCTATTTTCCAATAGTTACAATAAACGCCTATTATGCATTTCAGCCCCATATTTACTTGTCCCATAACATTATGACTGAGATCATTGGCACAAAAAGCTAACTCAAGTGAAGTCAAACCCTTTATTTGACTGTTTGCTTTTATGTAACTGAAGCAGTTGCAAAATAAAATGTTTGTAAAGCCAAAATAAAAGTCTTATTCCATCCATCCATCCATCCATCCATCCATCCATCCATCCATCCATCCATCCATCCATCCATTTTCATCTGCTTATCCGGAGTCGGGTCGCGTGGGCAGTAGCCTAAGGCGAGAGGCCCAGACTTCCCTCTCCCCAGCCACTTGGGTCAGCTCCTCTGGGGGAATCCCAAGGCGTTCCCTGGCCAGGTGAAAGACAAAGTCCCTCCACCGTGTCCTGTGTCTACCATTAGGTCTTCTCCTGGTTGGACGTGCCCGGAAAACCTCACCAGGGAGGCATCCAGGAGGCATCCTGACCAGATGCCCGAGCCACCTGTAGTTGGATACATCCCTTTTTAAATAAGGGAACCACCACCCCGGCCTGCCAGTCCAGTGGGACTGCCCCCGATGTCCACGCGATATTGCAGAGCCGCATCAGCCAACCTAGCCCCACAACATCCAGAGCCTTAAGGAACTCCGGGCGGATCACATCCACCCCTGCAGCCTTGCCACAGAAGAGCTTTTTAACCACCTCAGTGACCTCAGCACCAGAGATTTGAGAGGCCATTCCAAAGTTCTCAGACTCTGCTTCCTCACTGGAAGATGTGTCGGTGGGATTGAGGAGGTCTTCGAAGTATTCTGCCCACCGATCCACAACATCCTGAGTAGAGGTCAGCAGCACGCCGTCCCCACTATACGTAGATAGTGTTGGTAGTGTCATCATAAGAGGTCGTCGGGCTGCTCTTTGTCTGATCCCTCACCTAGGACCTCTTTGCCATGGGTGACCCTGCCAGAGGCAGAATGCCTCAGACAACTTAGCTCCCCCTCAGAAAATATTGGCAATGCATTTAAATTACGATTAATAAAACAGACTCCATTTTTTCACATGGAGCAAAAATGTGTGCTTTGTGTATTTTCAACAATCAGCCTAAAGGAAATAAACTGTAATGTGAAGTGACATTTTTACGTGTGGCATTTGACCTTAGCCTAGGAATTCAGACCATCCGTTTGCCGAAGCAAAAAGGATGGTCTAGCCACACCCCATCAGAACCTCTGCAGCCCTGGCTGGCCATCTGGTGCTGGGCCAATCACAGCACTCTATGAGTTTGGCTTGCATCTTCTTCAACAATGACTTCCCCATTCACTGACATCTGTAGCGATCCAGTCACTGTGCTCTATTTGTCTGGTGGGCCAATCACAGCACTCTGTTGTTGGGCGGGATGTTACTGCGACTGAGCGAAATAACATAGAAGGCAATGACTCATTTGAAACCGCTTTGGCATTAACTTCGTTGACTGGCATCCAAAACGGTGAGTATGTTACATCGTTTGTTGTCCAATAGCAGGCGGAGACAGTTTGAATGACAACCGTAGATCCTGCATCACAACTATATTCACTATCTAGGATGGCAGGCCAGGCTAATTTGAACTCATACAAATGTATAAAAATGACCAACGGGATAAATCAAACCTTTAAAGTTAAAGTCCCATCAGTCATCACAAACTGGTGAAATTCACCTCCGCATTTGACCCATCCCCATGCGGAGCAATGAGCTTCAGCTGTGGCTGTGCTCAGGTACTATTTAGTGGTTTGATTCCCCAATCCCACCCCTTAAAGCTGAGTGTCAAGCAGTTCGGCAATGGATCCCATTCTTAAAGCCTTTGGTATGACCCGACCAGGATTTGAACCCCGATCTCCCAGTCCCAGGGCGGAAACTACCGCTAGGCATCTTAGCCACCAAGTGCACCAAAAAGCAACTCAATGTAAAAATTAATCCATCATTCTCACTTTACAGATTTTTCTTCTCTGTTTACAAATTAACATTTTATGTTTTCTACAGTTTTCCTGCATTGATGATACTGCATGAGGATGACACTTGTGTAGACACAAAATGTTCCATCCTCCACCAGCATGATGCCAGAAAGCGTGGAGAACTCCTCATGCTGACATTTTGACCTGTGATTAGTGCTCAGGGGCCCAGACTCTGATCCAGATACTATCCAAGAGAAAGGAGTGCCAACATGAAAAGGGGTGACGAAGTACGCCTGGTCAAGCCATGCTAAACCCCCTCTGTAAGTTACTCCCACTCCTACCAAACAATGTTGGAGGGAGAGCAAACCTTTGCCAGATCCAACATTAGTGATCATGTTTATTTGATGTATTTTTGAACATGTGGTCAAAGAGCTGTCCTCAGTGAGGCAGATGGCTGAATTAACTGATTCAATTTCCTCACCCCCCTGGGAGATATCAGGGAAATAGAGATGTGGTATCTGCTTGGACGATCAACTCCAAAGTGTTATGGAAAAGGCTCGAGGTGCTGCAGAAGCATCACTTAAAGATTTAAGAATGAACTTCTTGTTCTGCAACATTGAAAGGAACTAAAGCCCTGGCTTAGATAGTTCGCCAAAGGGATACTGAAGAAACATGATTAGTTTGCACAGGCAAAATGAGAGAGGAGCATTAATAGAGCACAACCTGGGTTACAATACGCTCTAATTATTATACGATCAAAATGTATTTTGGTACATCTTTGACAACAAAAACATGTAATCTTTTTACATTATCTGCCATGAAATTGTGATTTCACCAGCATTCTTGTGAGACAAAGGCTGCTGTGTTGCTGAGACAAAGGGGACATGCGTTAGCCGCTAAACAGTTCAGGCCACGCTTACATCTGCACAGTCACCGACTTGTTTATCAGCGATGAGCTGGACGGTGAAGGAGGAGAATGTAAACAGAGTGAGAGTGCAATTAGGAGGAGTGGAGGAGTGAAGTCACCAGATGGTACAGTGAAAAGAATGCACAATAGTGACGATACACTGCTCCCATTCAGTGAGCTGATGTAAGCCTGCACATGCTAACAGCATCACCATCAGGAGCAGGACATCATCTGCAAATTATTTATTTTGGATCTACCATCATCAGTAGAAATGTCAATACTTAATTTTTTTCATTTTTATGCACTTTCATGATGTAAATGTGTATATTAGCTTACCAGTTTTACTATTTATGTAACTAATTAGAGATTACAGCTAACATTTGCTGTTT